AGGAAAAATTGAAATCGCATCATATGACCCCTTTAAAAAAACAAACTGAAAATACAATATATATTATAATATTGAACCTGATCAAACAATGTTTTGTGCATGACTGAATGACTTCAGTAGTACAGTGGCTTACCATGCTCTTCCCCACTGTACCGGCTCCTTCGCTTGGTCTTTCACCCCTGTCCGGGCTCCATTGGAGCTGCCCTTATGGCGCTTTCTCACAGCGTCGGCCGTCGTCATGATGTCTGAGGGAGTGAAATTTAAAAAAAAAAAAAAGCAGAGAGAAAGAGAGGGTTAGATTTTGAAGAAGAGCATAAAAATAACCTCTGAGATGGTAAACATGTCTCTAGCCTGAGTGCATAAGAGGAGAACAAAGTGCACTGCAGATAACAGATAGCAAACAGAAGATCTAGGTGTTATAAATATGATAAGTCCATAGTTTTAAATAATGATTATAACATAACTTATCATATATAATCTCAGAACTAGGCCAGGGTTGTTTCCTTTAGTGCTATGACATATAATGTTATCTTTCCAACTGATATGAGGTTGTTAATTGTGTGCTTATGTTATGCAAGCAAAGACAGATGCTCTGCATGAATCTATTTTCAGTTTATGGATTTTTAGTCCACTTTTTATATTAACAAATATGCATATGAATAACACCAAGAGAAATGTTCTACTTAGCATTATATGGTTTCAAATATGCAATAGCATAACAATACTAAACATGCTGAAAACTATGATTTCCATAATTTCCACTACAACAAAGAAATATTGCCCTAATATTTATTTTATTAAAAGATGTTTCCCAAGAAGACAACCTTATCACTAAAGATCATGTTTGAGATTAAATAGGAGGCACCAAAACATATATTCTTATTGTGTTTTACTTACAATCAAGCTGTAATTTTATCAAATCAATCAAAAATATTGTTTTTGTCTATTAAGGATACATAAAATGCTAGTTATACCATAGATAACACACCATACATTTTTTGAGATTTGGTGGAAATTACAGTGCACAAATGTTTATGATCGTTCTAATGTTGTCAAATGGTAATTTCTTGACTTTTAATCATTTATCTTAGAAAACTCAACAAAGCTAAAAGTGGCCAAAAACACCCGGATGGAACGTCAGGTGTGCGTGACACCTGTGCGTTATTCTCCTGCCAAAGTAAATGTGCTCGTTGAGTTTAATGCGACATAAAGCGGTTTAAAGGGAAATATGACTCCAGTCGTAACATACTTCCTCACATCAATGCCAATCCAGTGTGATAGTTGTAATTACCCCAATCCGATGCGATAATTAAGCAGGATGCAGATACTAAAAAAATATGTATGTACATAAAATGCATGATAAAGTATGCATATAGTTTACAATGCACTCGTGCCATAATTCAAATAATCATTATATTCTGTTGTTAAACTTGCATGTGTAGTTGGACTGGAAAGGGAAGTGCTGCACACTAAACGCATAACGTTACCAGAGATTTCAATAAATTGTACATGCAATATAATGCTGGAATTATTGCCTTAAAATAAATATAGCATTTTAATAAGTGGCAAAATGTAGATTTCAAATACATAAAAGCAACTGTTTTAAAAAGTGAAATATCACAAATGCTTACAGTTATAGCGCCACTTCACGCTGCCCAGATGTTCACAGTGATGCAACGAGCAAAGGGGAGTCTCTGGCCGAGTTCTGACTCCACCCACAGGTGACGTAATGACCCCACATCCAATCAGAGACAGATTAAATGCATACTCGTGTCAGTGATTGGACAACCGAGACCTGAAGCCATGAGCGCATGATGAGCTCAGCCCATGGGTCCTGCTGTCTTCTACATCGAGAGCATCCACTTGCACCACATTGACGCAGTTACTTTACAGCATTAGAAATGATAAGTAAATTAAAATTGCAATTCTTAAGTCTATAACAACGAATTTATCCCCCCAAAAAATTATAAGGAAAATGCCAACCTTTTCATAAACACACGTAAAAGCTTTATTTGGTTCACTGGCAAATTTGTAGAGAAAACACCTCACTTGTTATGAAAAGCTAATAATAAGTGCATAATTGCCAATAATAAATAAATAAAATAAAAACAACATAAAAGAAGCATTACTTTGGAACGTAAAATAACAAATTATAATGAAAGGGAACATTGCATGTATTATTCATGATTTATTTATTTATTTAAAATGTATCCTGGCATTTTACAGCATTGAAATAACTGTTTGACACATTTCTATGTGTTTATTCTTAAAGATGAATTCTTTAAAACTTAAAAGACGTTGAAACAATATTGTATGGTGTTGGTAGTTTCATAATTATGGCTCTGGATAGCAAAGATTGCATGTTTTTTTTTCCCCTTCATCAAAGAATGTTTAACCTCAAAATGTGTCACAAAGCGCTGTCTCTGCTTTTAGTTGTATATTCGGAGTTTTCCTTACGCTAAACTAGTACTTTTATTTTGAAGTGCAGAATTGTACATATACAGACCGGAAACGGAACTACAGTAAATACAAGTTTTGAGTACTGTTGCACGGCTGCTGTCAAGTGCAGAGTTGCTTTGATACGTTTTAAATAATTTGTGTCTGTGCAAAATGGGTCGCAAGGTTACATTAGCGACTTGCTCCTTGAATCAGTGGGCACTTGATTTTGAAGGCAACTTGACAAGAATACTTAAAAGTAAGTTCACCTGCAATTTGTCACCAGTGGTAGTAACTAATAGTACTAAAGGTCTTATGATCTTAAAGTGACCTTGCCTCATTTTACATCTACTCTTTTCTCCAAAACAGGCATTGAGATAGCCAAACAGAGAGGAGCTAAGTACAGACTGGGACCAGAGCTAGAAATCTGGTAATATTGTCATTCATAGACTGTAGATATTTCAACAAATATGTGATGCATTTTTACAACTGAGAATAAGGAGGACACGCAGATGATTAGAATATTTACCTTCATATATAATATAATATAAACCAACTATAATTCAATGTAGAAAATGAGAAAACTGATGATATTGTATTTTGTGGTCTTTCACAAATCTTTCATATACATCAGTGGGTACGGCTGTGCAGATCATTTCTACGAGTCCGACACCCTGCTCCATTGTTTCCAGGTTCTGAAGTCGCTCTTGGAATCTCCTTTGACACAAGACATCATCTGTGATGTGGGAATGTAGGTGATATTGTTTAAAACATTGTGGAAAAAAAAAATTTGTATATGGTTTCTGATGCATTTAACTTAACTCTTTCCACAGGCCTGTTATGCATCACAATGTTCGATACAACTGTAGAGTCATTTTCTTGAACAAGTAAGATTTTACTATAGTGCAGTGTTATAAAGCATTTGCATTACTGCTTAATGATTAGTTAATTACAATTATATGTGTAATGATATCTTATAATATATCCAATAATATCTTATATCTAATAATATGTCTACTTTTATATTTGACAGAAAGATACTGTTAATTCGTCCTAAAATGCTTTTGGCTAATTATGGCAACAACAGGGAATTTCGATGGTTTTCACCTTGGAGTCGACCCAGGTATATTCCATGATGTATTAGTTACATCTTGGGGTCGTTTGCATAGCAAGGTCTTTAATAATCGGTGATAAATGATAGATCACATATAAAATTAATTTTGTTGCAGACATGTTGAGGAGTACTTTTTACCCAGAATGATCCAAGATGTGACAGGGCAGGTAAAATAGTATTATTTTGTATTACCTAATTATAAAGCTTAATTATGATCAATTATTAAAGGTAATGCATTATTAATAATGGTTCTTATTATTAATTTGCTGATTTGGTGCTCAGGAAACCAGCTCAAA